GAACCGGACGAGCCCGTGTTTCCTCCCTGTGGACTTCCCAAGTGACGCCGTCTATAGCGGTCTTTCCAAAAAGCCATTCTGCGCAAAACAAAGTGTTAAATTACACACAACGAACAAACTCTCTGCTACAGATAGTGGCTTTGGCATTAGCCTCAAATGCACAATTGCTTGCAGACGGAGTCGTGTACCGTGCAGCTAACTCGGCAAGTCCGCATTCAAGAGCTCGCTCCTGCGTCGCCAGGAGCACGGGATTTCTTGTGTCCTATACTGCAAACTCATGTTAATCATCTTCCCCATGACTACGGTAGTATCCCTTCAAGTCTAAGATGTGAACCGGGCAAGATTTATCATTTGTATCTCGCCGGAGTAAGACACGACACTCGCGTTTTTAACTAATATGTGCCCTTTCACCTCGGAGCAAGCGTTGCGGCTAAACCACTAGCTGCGTTGCTCAGAGGGTGAGTTTCTTTCAGGACTAGATAGCGATGGCGTAGACCCAGTGGAACTGTTGCGCGAGCGAAGGGGTCCAAAGCTTGCGATGAGATGGCCATACTATAGACCTTTGGCAAAAGAGCTCTCTGGCCGCCGCCATTTTGCGACTTGAGCGACCCCTATCAACAAAAAATTTTTGTCTCCCGCCTGAACTGTGGAAACCCTGTCAGCGCGACTCCCCACCTGCATGCATTTGGAGTTCGCCGGCTTCCCTTGAAATTTTTTACTTCATTTGCCTATTCAGGATGCTTACGTGTTTTGTGTTATTTTCCACTGTGAGAACGAGGGAATGCCAGGGCTCGTAGACTGCTCGGCCTTCGCAGGAAACGAAGAAGAAAGCGAACGTCAAGCAGCCCGCGACGCAGGCAGTTCGACATTCTTCGAGGATTATTTCCGTTGATATAACCTCCTAAAAGCCTTCCCGGCTATGTTCCTGTCTCGGCGAAAAATAGCTGATAGGGTCCGGGATGGGAAAGGAGTAGACACGTTAGTTAATTTGCTTTGGTGCTGTGTAAAAAAAAAAAAAAAAAAAACACCCTTTAACACGTACCCGAAGACAAGCCAGATTTCGGTCGATCGTCGTGAAGTGACTATCGTCGACACTAAATTGCATATGCTGTGTTATTGGAGACCTTTCTCAAACGCTGTTCGGATAACGCGGCACTGTGAGGTACGTACAATATATGTTGTTCGATTGATGAGACTCGTTGAATCTCATATTGTGAGCGTGGAATACCCATGCAGTGCGGCTATCCTGTGGTGTGTTCAAATATTTTCGGCAGTTAACACCTTTCAGATTGACATGGCTGAGTGTATGGAGCCTTAAAAAATACACATAAAATGAAACAAACATTCCAGTTGTATTTGTTCTGTCGCGCACGGATTCAACAAAAATAGTTCTCATTTGTTTGTTTTTGTTCCTGAAATAGTGCAATGCTTTTTTTTTAAATGCTCTAAAAACTATCTTTGTCATAGAACACAAAATAAAAAATAAAACGAGGCTGTGGCAGCCTACGCAGGCTAAAACAGCCTAATGACGAGGAAACCCACAGCCCAGCGCAGTCGGGCAACACTGACGTACACTCTCAAAATCAGGGACGCGCTCTGTAAACCGCTTCGTTCGAGAATGCAGCTGGAAAGGTCTATACCCGCGTTCTGCAGCGGCCGCGTATACCGTGTACGACACGATGCAAGTGTCAGCGTCCCGTTTGCCCACGTGCATCCGGGCTATAGGGACTCATCGACCCTCGGAGGGGGCGGCAGATCAGCGATCAAGCCCGCTTGAACCGTTCACGCCTCAAGGCAAGCTAGACATCTACAAGCCCACCAGAATGTCTCCCGCCTCATCCCCGGCCAGGTCGTGATGCGGCATAACTTATAAAAAGCCTTGCTGCCACTGCCACGACGAATCAGAATAAAGTCGAAAAAGCATCCGATATATCACTTCTGTAGCTTTCAAGGAATCATAACCCTGAAAGGAGAGCCGTCCTTCTGCCCTTGGTCGTTTGTAGGGATGACGTGAAACAACAAGCCGTTTTGGCCAAGCAGATACGAATCGTAGTGGTCATTAACTTGCCCGCCAGCGTTCCTGGTGTAAAGTACATTTTCCGCAATTTTTTCTACACCGGCTGACGAATTCGTCCACCAGCGTTCCCGGTATCAATTGCTATTGCCTCCATTTTCCGACACTCGCCGACAAATTTGTCCACCAGCGTTCCCAGTATTAATTTCTATTCCCTTCATTTTCCGACACTCGCTGACAAACTCGTCTGCCAGCGTTCCCGGTGTCAACTGCTATTCCCGCAATTTTTAAGACACCCGCTTACCAACTCGTCCGCCAGTGTTTCCAGTGTGAACTGCTATTCCCGAAATATTTCTGACACCCGCTGACAAAAACCCATCTGCACCCCGGGCATCGACAAGCTCTTCCTTGCTCACCACTTCCCTCCAAGCCACAATATTTGATCCACTCGTCCAGCGCCCTAAATTTGCAACAAGTGGTGGCTTTTCCCCTCCTGTCAGTATTTATCCCGCCTTTCAGCGAACATCCGGTGTCTTTCTTCCATCTCCGAAGACACACTGTCTTACATCTCATTCGTTATTTCCCGTCACCCGCCCCCCCCTCCCCGCCCATCCCCCCCCCCCCCCCCCCCCCCGGTTGCATCACCTCCTCAGAACCGCTATTTTGGGGTTCTCGAGAACAGCGTGTCTGCATTCTCGTTTTTCGAGTCTTTCCGGTGCTCGGCTCGAAAAGACACCTGCTCATCTCTGCTGTGTGACAATTCGGCAAAATTTTGACCGACTTTGTGTAGACGGTCATCTTAGTGTTAGTTAACATCCCGATTAACGAGTCCATGGGATTCCCTGGGGACGACCAGAAGCAAAGGCATAGCGATCGGGCCTTACGTTCGGCGCCATTTTTCGGGGTGTGTTGCTCTATAACAATCACCACCCGATCGGACTGTGCCTAGCGCTCGTCTCCAAAGGAGTGACAACAAAACGAGAAGACAACGAATGGGTTACTATACTTCCCGGTTGCGGTTGCCCGACCTCGAGTGCCGGCAGTCCGGGCCCGCCGATCTTGGTTGGCGCCCGTCATTCAGATCTCGCAGTCCGGAGTCCGTGTATAGGCCTGAGCATCATCCTTGCCGCGCCAGCGTTGCTGAGGCTGTTACAAAGTAGACTAGCAGCTCCGAGCTATGATAGCCCGAGTCTTGCTGCGGAAGCACTTCGGAATCATCCTGGCCTAGACCGATATGGCCAGGGCTCACCGTTCCGGCCGGTCCTGGTCCGAACTTCGCTGGAGGACCACTCCGGGTATCGCCATGGGCCAGACTGTCTCCATCGTTCCTGCCCGGCCCCAGCGTCGCGCAGCACGCTCTATCACGACTCATGCGCCAGCTCGTGTCTCTTCGGAATTATAATTTTTGCTTCATTTTTTTCTATTTCCTACTGAATAGGTTCATATCACCAGCCAGTTTGACTACGCCACCGCAGCCCCAATGCATAAAAAAAACTTTAGTTTTTTTTTTTTTTTTTTTTTTTTCACGTGCGGCAGCCTCGTTTGAGCTCTGGGCGTTTAGAGCACGAGACGGCACGAGCCCTCTGATGCAGTACCGTCTGCCACCTTTGAACTAAAGTTATGGCGGCGTCACGCATGCGCCGAACGCTTAGTGAGATAGGTCTATTCATGAATGCATGTTGGATTTTGGGGCATTGAAATCGTCTTCACGCAATAAGGCCTCCGTTGCTGCCACGGCAAAAAAAAATATTTATTTAAATGGTCATTAAGGTGCTATCACATGAAATTATTTGTCGCTGGACTGTGTACGGAAGACCGCGCGGATAGGGTTTCAGCTTTTAGTACCAATGGTGATTTTGGCACAAAAAGGGGGGGACATCTGTGGCGTCCCCCAAGGGTCATGCTAACAGATTCCCTAAGAATCCACCAATGGATCTTCCTGCAATTTTCGATCCTTTTCTGAACTGTGCCTGCAAGAGTACGTCAAATCCGTTGGATACGGTTATCTATGTCACTCGTGGAAAGAGCCACATCAATGCCACTGGTCCACATCTATGCCATTCGTGGAAGAAACAGCATCCATATCACTCGTGGAGAAAACCACATTCACGGTTTTAACTACACACACCTCACAGCCCACTCACCGCTACTACGAAAACCCAGAGGGAAGAGCAAGCGGCGACGGCAGAGCGGCAACCGTTCGCGCTTTCACAGTGGCGTCACAAGGGAAGGGCGGGGGTGGGGTTGGGAGGGGGGGGGGGGGGGGGGGAGACCGCCCTAGGTGCAGCGCTCAGCGAGGTGAAGCTGGGTAGTGAAGGGAGAAAAGGGTGGGGGGGTCGCTGCGGGCTACCGCCCCGGGGCCCGCTAACCCTAGTGACGTCACTGCCCCCGCCAATATTGGCAGAATACATTGTCTTAGCCTGGGTTCATTGTGAATACTCTCCTGAGTGTAATACAGACTTTAAAGGTTCATGACGGTCGAATGGCAATATGCTTTTTGCGTATTTTTATCGTATACCATAGTTTGACTCATGAACAGAATTGCAATAAATAATTATTTGATTAGTTTTAAGAACATAACTGTGTGCGATGACAACGAGTATGGTACGCAAGCCCGCGCGCACTCCAAACGCGTTAAAAAATGAGCTCTAGGATTGCTATTCTTGCTGATTCTTAAGATAAGTGAGACTCTAAAGATAATGATATTTGTACGAAATATGCTACAATATGTTTCAGGTCCTAGCTCAAACAAACTGTAGTTTATTTCTATTGAAATAAGAGTTCCTTTTAAGTACTATATCTGACACTTATATCATGTATAAATAAAAAAAAAGTCATAAGTTATAAAAATCAATAAGTATGTAAATATATGTTGCCAGATACTTGGCAGAATAAATTAGTTAAATACAAACTTAAATGAAGTTAAAAAAATGAGCGCAACATTATACACAACTTCTGGAAAGTAAGCTCCCCTGTTGCTTTACAGGTGAGAGAAATAAAGAAGCAGGAAGAAAACACGTTCTTCTTCAACGCTGGAGATTTCTATCAAGGAACAGTCTGGTATACCGTCCTGAAGTACAATATCGTGTCTGTGGCAATGGAGAACATGATGTACGATGCTGTGGTATGTATTATAGATTATTATTTAAAAAAAAAAAAATCACATTTCGTAAAGATATTGTCACGGGTGGTGACCAAACAAAAAACAGGAAATAAACAGAAAGAAATAAACGTTTAATGTGGCGAACTTGTGCCAAAAAAATAAAGAAGGAAACAGAAGAAAGCAGAGCGTCGCGGGCGTCGAAGTCGGCGTGTCAGCAGAATCGAGCGCTAGGGCGAGACTGACTCGACAAGGTCGCGGGCGGCCTCTTATCTAGAGTGCGCCGCTATCTCGAAGATTCGGCGAAAGCGGTTCGAGCGTCGCGTGATCGGGGCGAGAATGAACACGCACTTTCTAGAAGACAAAAGCAGGGATAAATGATAGAAGTTACGTGCGGTACATGAATAAACGGGAACTTTCTGGAGGACCGTGACCGAGCGTTGCTTTCTCAGCCTTGCGCGCGGCATTACTCCCCCCTTTAAAAGTGCATCGCCCCGATGCTGTGTAAAACAAATCAAAATAAAAAAGAACGATAAACTAAAGAGTCTTTTGGAGCACAAAAGGTCCACAGTCCTATCGAGCGTAGTACGGCTTCAGGCGCACGACGTGGACGACCTCAGGTCGTGGTGGGCGGCGTGACGATGTTCGTGTTCCGTCGGGCATCACCTCGTAGTTCAGCTCGCCGAGGCGACGAAGTACCTTGTATGGTCCAAAGTACCGTTTCAGCAGTTTCTCACTGAGGCCGCGGCGACGGATGGGCGTCCATACCCACACCCTATCTCCGGGCTGGAAGTGGACGTCCCTGCGACGAAGGTTGTAGCGGCCGGCGTCGACGCGTTGCTGGTCTTGAATCAGGAGTCGGGCGAGCTGGCGAACTTCTTCGGCGCGTTGAGCAACCGCCTGGGCGTCGTCGCTCTCATTGTCAGATGGCTCATGGGGCAGCATGGCGTCCAGCATGGTCGTTACCTTCCGACCATGTACCAGCTGGAAAGGGGTGAATCCAGTGGTCTCTTGAACCGCCGTATTGTAGGCGAACGTGACGTAGGGCAGCACCTCGTCCCACGTCTTGTGCTCTACGTCGACGTACATAGAGATCATATCGGCGATTGTCTTGTTGAGTCGCTCGGTAAGTCCGTTGGTCTGCGGGTGGTATGCAGTGGTTCGACGATGGCCGGTGCCACTGAGACGAAGGATCTCTTGCGTCAGCTGGGCCGTGAACGAAGATCCGCGATCTGTAATCAGAACCTCGGGAGCGCCGTGCCGGAGGACGATGGACTCGATGAAAAACTTGGCGACTTCCACAGCAGTCCCTGAAGGAAGAGCTTTCGTTTCGGCGTACCGCGTGAGATAATCTGTGGCGACGATGATCCAGCGGTTCCCCGACGTCGAAGGCGGAAAAGGACCAAGTAGATCCATTCCGATCTGCTGGAAGGGTGTAGTTGGAGGAGAAATGGGCTGCAGAAGTCCGGCCGGCCTCGTCGGCGGTTTCTTGCGTCGCTGGCACTCGTGGCATGATCGTGTGTATAGGTGGACGGTCTTGGGGAGCTTCGGCCAGTAATACTTTTCACGAATAAGGGCCAGTGTCCGGCTGTAACCAAGGTGTCCGGATGTCGGGTCGTCGTGGCAGGCTTGGAAGATCTCCTCTCGAAGGTCACTCGGGATTACCAGCAACCAAGGTGTGTTGTTGTTGCCGAAGTTCTCTTTGTAGAGTACACCTTGTCGGATGGCGAAGGTCGGCAGTACTCGTGAGAAGACACGTGGCACGGTACTCCTGCCCCCTTCCAGGTGCTCGATTAATGCGCGCAGCTCAGGATCGTCCCGTTGACGTCGTGCCATATCGTCGGTGTTCACTGCTCCTAGAAAGCACTCGTCGTCATTGTCGTCGCTGCAGCCGGAAGGGGTTTCGACGGGGGCTCTGGACAGGCAGTCGGCGTCGCTGTGCTTGCGGCCTGACTTATAGACCACTGCCATGTTGAACTCTTGTAGTCGAAGACTCCATCGAGCGAGGCGTCCTGACGGGTCCTTCAGCTTCGCAAGCCAGCAGAGCGAGTGGTGGTCCGTGACTACACGGAACGGGCTGCCGTACAAGTACGGACGAAACTTCGTTATTGCCCAGACGACCGCAAGGCATTCTTTCTCAGTTGTGGAGTAATTTTTCTCCGCCTTGGACAATGTCCGACTTGCGTAGGCGATGACTCGCTCGACGCCTTCTTGCACTTGGACTAGTACTGCGCCTAGTCCCGCGTTACTTGCGTCCGTGTGAATTTCTGTTTCCGCATCCTGGTCGAAATGTCCAAGCACAGGAGGAGTCTGGAGTCGTCGTTTCAGTTCGTCGAATGCCTGCTGTTGCTCCTCGGCCCATTCGAACTTCTTGGCGTCCTTCGTGAGATTCGTAAGTGGTGCGGAAATCCTTGCGAAATCCCGAACGAAGCGTCGATAATAGGCACAAAGTCCAAGGAATCTTCGCACGGCCTTCTTATCTGTCGGCGCTGGAAATGCCGCGACGGCGCGAGTCTTCTCGGGGTCTGGGCGGACGCCTTCGTTACTAACCACGTGGCCAAGGAACTTCAGTTCGTCATAGGCGAACCGGCACTTTGACGGCTTGAGTGTGAGTCCGGCGGTCTGAATGGCTTGAAGAACAGCTCGGAGTCGTCTCAAGTGCTCGTCGAAGTCAGCTGAAAATACTACGACGTCGTCAAGGTAGACGAGACAACTCTGCCACTTCAGCCCTGCCAGTACGGTGTCCATGACACGCTGGAAAGTTGCTGGCGCTGTGCATAGTCCGAAGGGCATCACCTTGAACTCGTACAGTCCATCCGGCGTGACGAAGGCTGTCTTCTCTCGGTCCCGTTCGTCGACCTCGATTTGCCAGTAGCCGCTCTTCAGGTCCATCGATGAAAAGTATCGAGAGTGGCGCAGCCGGTCTAGAGTGTCGTCGATGCGGGGGAGTGGGTAAACGTCTTTCTTCGTAACCGTGTTGAGCTGCCGGTAGTCCACGCAGAACCGAAGAGTTCCGTCCTTCTTCTTAACCAGCACGACTGGAGAGGCCCATGGACTGCTTGAAGGTTGGATTATGTCGTCATTCAGCATCTCTTGAACTTGCTGATGGATCACCTCCCTTTCCTTAGCGGAGACTCTGTACGGCGATCGATGCACAGGGCGCGCGTCGTCCTCAGTAACGATGCGGTGCTTGGCAACCGCGGTCTGGCGCACCTTCGACGACGTCGCAAAGCAGTCGCGGTATTCGGCGAGGAGGTTAACCAGCTGACGCCGTTCAGGGTCCGGAAGCTTAGGGTCAATGTCGAGCTGCGCTGGCGACGTACTGTCTTGCTGGGGCGGCGAGGATTCGTCAGTGATCGCAGTGATTTCGGCGGGGTTTCGGAGTTTCTCGACGTGGCCCACGGCTGCACCTTTCGTGAGGTGTTGCGTTTCGTTTCGGAAGTTCGTCACGAGGGCTACAGTCCGCCCATCCTGAAGTTCAGCTATTCCCCTTGCGACGCCTATGCCTCTTCCCAGGAGCAATTGGAGGCTTCCCTCGAGAAGAACTTCGCCACAGGAAGCTTCATCGATCCCGACAAGTACGAAAACACTCGACCGCGGTGGTAGGTTTACGTGGTTTGCGAGGACTCGGACCGTGGGTGACGTCGCTTCGGGTTCCTCCGCTGGTGGAGCAGGTTTTCGTAGCGTCAGCCGGTTTGTTCCGAGGTCGATGACGGCGCCATACTCGCAGAGAAAGTCCATTCCGAGGATAACGTCCCTCGAACAGTCTTGCAGAACGACGAACTTGACAGGGCACGTTTCACCGTGGATCTCGACGCGAGCAGTGCATCTCCCGACTGGTGTGATGAGATGTCCTCCGGCGGTTCGTATTTGGGGTCCTTCCCACGGCGTCATGACTTTTCGAAGGCGGCGGGAGAGCCTCCCACTCAAGACTGAGTAGTCTGCTCCGGTGTCCACGAGTGCCGATGCGTCGTGACCGTCGATGACGACGTTTAGGTTGTTGGACACCGTTGCAGGGGCGTCGTAGCGATGCGTGGCGTCGGGAGAGTGGGAGCGCTCCGGCGTTCTTGGAGGCTCTTTACGTCGGTCGTCTTCGGCAACTCCACCTCCAGGGGTTGCCGCGCCTAGTTTCCCCGGCGAGGAGCGAGGGGCGACAGGCTTTCACGTCGGGGTCGGTGCATCGGCGAAGCTGGACGTCGTGGCGATGGCGACCGGAACTCTCGGCGGGACGCAGGCTCGGGGGACTGGGGTCGTCGCAGGTACTCGTCGATCTCCCGAGGGCGTTCACCACACTGGGGGCGCGGATCGTTTGGGTGGAATCCGCGCAGCCCGAGTCGTCGGTATGGGCATCGGCGGTACACATGGTCGGCTTCCCCGCAGTGGTAGCAGAGCGGGCGTCGGTCGGCCGTTCGCCACACGTCGGTCTTCCTCGACGAGGGTTGCTCCGGGCGAACGTCGTGGACTTGTCCTTCCTGGCGTCGAGGATACTGTGGCATCGGAGGGTCTCGTCGGGGTGGCGCCGTGGTCTGGCGGTTAGCTTGCGGCGATCTTCGGGCCATGGCGGCGTAGCTCAAAGTAGGCTCCTCTGGCGTCGTCGTTTTGATCGGAATCTCAGGTTGGAAGGCTCGGTGGACTTCCTCTCGGACGACCTCGGCGAGCGACAGGGAGGACGAGCGATCCGTAGCGGGGAGCATCTTGCGGATTTCTTCCCGGACGACTTCACGGATGATGTCACGGATGCCTGGGAGGTCGGTACCAAGGTCGTATCCGGATGTCGCCAGAGTAGTCACGCCAGGGTGCCGCTCGTAGTGTCTGGCGCGTGCTAGTAGCGCACGCTCCATATTCGTCGCCTCCGTGACGAACCCGTCGACAGTTGTCGGAGGATTGCGAATGAGACCTCCGAATATCTCGCTTTTGACACCCCTCATCAGGTGTCGCAGCTTCTTCTCCTCTGTAGCCTGAGGATCGGCGCGGGCGCTCAGGCGAAGAACATCCTCAACGAAGCTGGTGATGCTTTCATTCAG